AGTAGAGGGAAATCCCTGAACAAAACGTTGGTCAGACAGGTAGAAATATCGATGATTTTCTTAGATTTAATCATTTTTATGAATCTATTTCAGCCAAATCCGATCGTTATTTTCCATAAGGAGTCTCACTTGATATGTTTATGTAGTATTTGAAAAAAAGACAAAAAATAAAGTTACTTCACCGTGATGCCCCTTTAATTCCTTACCAAATATCTGAAAAACTGCATATTTTCAATATTTTACTGCATATTTCTATTGCAGGGACCCATCTTTATGACAAAGACCTAAATTGACAATAATGACATCATAGTTAACAATCTGAAGTATTTTAACTTATCTATATTCCCCCACCCCAGAACGAACTCTGGTACATTGTATAGAAAAAACAGGACCACAACTCTTCCTTGAGTAGGGCACAAGACCTGATTTAATACATGACACTTCATTACACCAAGAGGTACTTGCATATAAAGTTTGGCAATTGTTGATGATATGCTCCAGACAAACTGAAGCAGTGAAAAAGGGGCCATAACTCTGTATATGTTGTGAAGCATGATATGCATAACGATATAGTAAAACAAGAGGCTCGAGAGGGCCTGAATCGCTCACCTGAATATTTAAGCAGTCATAGCAAAACATTCTCATTAAATATTATCTTGCACTAAAAATATTTCCCTCGCAAACTTTGTTGGCTACATCTGTTGAAACTACCAGCAAAATATTATTATAAGATTCTATGCTTTTTGATTCTTCTTCAGAAGTTGCTTGACATATTTTTCCCTGTGACCTTGTAAGTAGGTCAATGTCATTTTCCTTCTCAAATTGGTTAGCTCTATTCCAAAAAGCTACCAGCCAAATCTTATGAATCCATTCCTTTTAGTTCTTATGAACAAATCTATTAAAATGTTGTTGACCTCCGTGACCTCTGAAGTAGGCTGAGGTCATTTTCATTTGCAAATTTTGGTGAGCTCTATCCCAGGAAGTCATCAGCCAAATATTATAATTTTATATATGTCTTTTAATTCTTCAGAAGTAGTTTGAACTGTTTGACATATTTGAACGCTGTGACCTTGAAAGTAGGTCAAGG